GTAAAAGCTCAGATTTATTTTAAACCACCACTTTTAACAGGAGGAAATGGATAAAAGGAAAATTCCAGTAGTTTTCCTTTTGGCTTAAAGTGGCATTTTCCAAGACGCTATTAAATTATCATTGCATTAATAAACTTAAGTAGTACTTAAACATTTTAAGCTAAGATATATTCAGATCAAGTAGAGCAATCAAATTATTTTTAAATGTAATTTATATCCTGGGAAAATATTACTCGAATATGTTTAATATACATTGTAGCCAGAAGACTTCATCGAAAGTCAGGAAAGAAACACAAGTCATGATGGACTTACTCCATGGTGTACTTCACTTATCGGAAATAGCCTGTCTTCTGAGATGCATTTTATATTAAGAGTCTTAAATCCTGGAAATTTGGTCATGATACTTGTGGAGGTTATAATTTGGTGACAAGGGAGGGAAACAGACTTTCAGTTTCTTGAATCAGTTAATTTTTTCTGCTGAGGTCATCAACTGACAATTTCATCATCGGACATAATTGAGAAATTGATAACATTGTTCTATTTAACACACATAATCCACAGAGGTGACCAACGCATGCTCCTAGGTAAAACATTATTGTAAATATAGGTAAAAAAATGAGGGTTTAATTACTGTCTAGCTCTGAAGAAAAACTAAGGCTTTGTAGTATGAGGGGTTCGTTTATTTTAAATGAATAAAATTAACTATGTCTTACATAGAATAATGAAAAAGACCAAGAAGACATTGTGAGTTCTTATCCATTATTACTACTCACACCTTGGAAATCACGGCATACAAGGCCCATACTGTGGACAAAATTTCCTACAAGCTCTTATAACATAATATTTTTTAACTGAATGAGCAGAATCCTAGTCTTAGCTATTACAATTCCATAGCTACAAAGTGTCCGGTCTTTCGGGTTTAGTCAGTACAGGGCAGTGTGGGACAGGACAGAATCATAGAAGTATCTCAGTCCTAGATCACACAGCGTGCATTAATTGCAGTGCTTCAAGACTCACGTATTTAGTAAGGGAGTGTCCCCCGAGCCTGGGTAAGGCTCTGGGGTGCACAGTTTGTCCATTTGATGGCACTGTCATGAGTCCCCTTGCCCCAGTCTTTCAAAAATATTTAATACAGAGAGCTAGACCTTTGAAGAAGGAAGGGAACCTGAGTGAAAAGTTACCTTTAAGTTTGAAACAAGAACATATTAATTAAAATTTTTTTAAATTATATGTTGTTTTAAGTTATTTTGTAGCCATTTTCTCAACTGAGCTTTCTATGGAAATGCTTATAAATGCACAGCGTACCCAGGAAGGAAAGTGAAGCCGGTGACAGGAGCCCTGCTTATGTTACGGATGCCCCTGACAATACTGCCAGCCTTTAACATGGTTTTATTTAGTTATTACAACTATCTCTCTGTAAATGACATTTAGGATTATTTAAGATTATGTTGTAATCCTTTTAATCCTTGGTGCTTTAAATTTCAGGCTAAACACCAAAGAGCAAACTAGCACTTAGCAGGAATGTTTAAAACATGTGATTTGAACATAATTCTTTTTATTCACTGCTTCCCTGATGAAGAACTAGTGTTGCTCTTAAGTTAACTAAGGAAACTTGCGTCACAGCTCATTACAAATCACTTGGCTGCTAAATGTTTGCTCAAGCTATATCAGACTTGTGATAGTCCTTGACAATTACGCTCGCCACAGAATTAAACAAAGGTTAGCAGCAACAGACATTTACTAATTTAACTTTGAAACTGCGCTACCCACCATAATTACAAAGTATCTTTCTGGTTCAGAGCATGTGTAAGTGCTCCTTCTTTCTCGAAGACCAGCTATGTACACATGCATATCTTTTAACACGTTATAACATACCTAGACAAAATTTATAATAGGAGTCCACAATGTTTTAAAATAAACATTACTTAGTATTAAGTATTACCAATTAGGCCATGGTTTTGAGGTTTAATTACCAAACTTTAAGGCTACTATGATGTTACCATTTTTTCAATCAAACGATTGACTCCACAGCACAAGTTTAAATGTACTTTTACCAAGAAGGAAACTTTGTTTTTAATACAAAGAGAAAACAAAGCAGTGGAATGTCCAAACACTGTGGTCAGTGAAGATTTTCCTTTCTGTATATCTGTGTCACACTGTGTACTCCTGAGACTTTCAAACATATCTCAGGCCCTTCACAATTTTTTGTTTGGTTCTCTATTCATTGTGAATTTGAGTTCTTTGCAGAGAGTGTACTTGTGGGGCATGTAAATGGTAATCCATCAAGATTTTAAAAGCAGATGTCAAATTTTAAATTATTCCTAATTTTGCTCTACTTTGATTTTTCTTGAACTAAAAATCTCAATAGTCATTTGCTATCTGTAATCTATAATTCATAGGCAGAAATTGAACACCAAGCCTAATTCAAACTTGAAATTCTGAAGCTATTTCTGAAGTAGCACATCAGCTGAAGCAATGATGGTCTTTTTGCAGTCAGGAGGAAGCACTTCAGTATTCTGTAGGTAATGAGACCCTTGCACACACACTCAAATACCCAGCAACGCCTTAATATGATGTTTTGTGACATAATCATGTTTATTCTGACCATTTGAGAGTGAGATCAGCTAATGTAGCTAATCAAATATTGATGCAAGTCATCCAGATTGAGCTGTCTAGTAAATCCTTTGCAATGCTTTTTCGTTAAGAGAACTATGAAAGCTGTTTATATTGTTTGTCGCAAAAGGCTTAGTTCAAAGTACACCTCTACGGATTTACATTTGAGGATTTTTACCTCTACGGATTTACATTTGAGGATTTTTACCTGAACTCATGTGCGTAAGTGTTGAGAAGAGCTCAGCATGAAAACAAAAACAAAAACAAAAACAAAAAACAACCTTAAGTCAGACAAAATGAATGAAGCAAAGGATTAAACTTGAATCTTTCTTATTTCTCTAAAACTCCAAGAAAGACCAAATAAATAAATAATACATAAGTGAATAAATGTAAGAATGAAGCCCCATGAATTGTTCTATTAAATGACCAAAATAGCTTGCAGTATTTTTGCCCTCCAAAGTATGATCCTCAAACTAAGAATATTTTTATTATTTTTAGAAGTACTTATATTCAGAAGCATGAACAATAGATAGAAAATTGCAAGAGGAGACAGTAATATTCAGAACAGATTAGGATGATAGATACCACAAGTACAGGCAATTTAAATATATACATATGCAGTATGCTCATAATTCTACCCAGATATGTTAAGATTTGCAGTACTATGTATATTATTGTGGTGTACCTCAGTTTTCATTGATTCCTAGGAGACACTGCAAAATAAAAGCCCATTTTCCAAAATTTTGATTGCCCAAGAATTGTCCATATATTTGAACTTAATGTTTCATTTTACAATTTAAGTTATTAAGATCTAAACTCACAATACATAAAATACTAAAACATTTAGCTTATCTGATAATCTGAGTAGTCATAGAGACTAAGAATAAAACCACTCTTTTTTTAAAAAGTGAGAAAATAAGCAAAAAAAAATCAAGAAACTGGAGAAAAGGATATATTCTGAACTATGGCCACTCACTTTAAAACAAAATGTATTTTCCTACTGTTCTCTAAAACAATAATTGCTCTTGACTTAGACCGTTGTCTTCTAAGTGTGCCTGGCGGGTTTCTTGCCTCTTTCTCTACCCACATTTCTACCTTCCTCCCTCCCATTCATTCCTGCTTGCTTGTTTCCTTCCTTCCTTCTTTTATAAACATTCCATGTTTAATTGGAAAATAAAAATGACATATATTTTCTCAATATCAGTCTTGGTAAAACAATATACTGAGGACTAAAATTTCAGTTAGATGACTTATTTTATAATATTTACAGCTCTTAAAATCTGGAAGGACTTAAATTATTTGAGTACACCTGGGTCAGCACCTAGTAAAAGCAATGCCTGCTGGTAAGCAGGATTTCCCCTCAGTGAGGTCAGGAGGAGAAGGGATGCTGCCTATGCTACTGTATGGCTCAATGCATCAACTTTAGCACAGCGTATGAGAATAGCAGAATTTCTCCAAGGAACAAAATTCCCTGAGAAGAAATTTATTGTAAAAAATTACAATAGTCTGGGTCTCTCTGTGAATAAATGACACTAAATCTAAAGATACCTATGTAAATATATATTAATAATTTTTATTTACATGGATACACTTGCAATATATAATAATTACATTCATCAGGAGGAGTTGGCACAAATACATAATAATAAAAAACTATAATTATATATATACATATATACTTATTGATTAATTTGGGAATATAAAAGATAAATTTCATATCAAAATGGAAAGAAATTCATCTCTACAATCTAAAACTATCAATTGCCATTAGAAATCATGTCAAATGATCTTATTTAGTTTGCATCAAGTGTGAAATATTAAATTTTGTAATTGTTATCACATAAGGATTTCATCAAGTCCTTTGCCATCAATAAAATCAATACAATATGATTATTCATCATGACTTTTTCTCTAAATGTAAAGCACTAAATATAAAATGATTCAATTTTTCCAGCTCTTTGGCTTTCTTTCTCTTACACTGATAAATCTAATCAATGACTAGAAACCAGAAATAGGAATTTTTGACAATAGTTTATAATTAATGTATTGTGTATGTTTGAAAGTTGTACACCGCATCTACTTAAATAAAATGTTCTGAGTTAGAACTCCAAACACTTCAGAAATACATTGCAAAAGTCAATGCTTTTTATGAAACTAATCAAGATGCACCATATATTTTTCTGTTTAGAAGGCAACGAGTCACCAGGGAAAAACAACAAAACAAACCAAAGATCCAACAAGGAAGAGGAGCCGGACTTTCATAATGACCTTCAGACAACTGGTTCATGCACATGAAAACATCACAAGAAGATGGTCTTATTTGATTACCCAAGAGAGTTCAGATTTAGAAAGAATAGAAATAAATTGAATATATGTAACATTCTTACCTGAAAGACATTCTTTCTGCTTGATTTTTCCTTGGTCCATTCAATATGTGCTCCACACAAATCCACACTTTCTGGTTTGTGCCCAGTTTTCTGTAAACAAAAATGAAATATGAATAAAAAGCACACATCATTGGAAATGCATGTCAGAGAAAATAAGAGTTTATTGAGTTAGAAGCTATACATATTTATGATTAAGTAAAGGCCTATCTCTTTTTTTTCTTCCAAGGAAAACCTAATTTATAGGACTTTTTATTTGGAACTTTATACTGTCTAGTATTAGAAGTCTATTTCATAATGTAATTCATTAATTATAAATAAGAAAAAATAATTAAAATGCTGATATTTTGAAAGAATGCTAATTAATGATCTTAGTAATTTTTTAATGTAGAAATTTATTATTCAGTGGATAATGTATATTGAAAGCATTTTAAGCCATCTACTTATACCCAAAAGTAAAGAAATGTAATTTAAGAAATAATAATGTAATGAAAAAATTCTTACACATCATTTATCTTTGAGACTTTAACAGGCTTACTTAGGACCTGGCTATGTCATCTTAACATACTGAACAAGTAGATCATTTAATCTTAAAGTCTCTGGCAAGTTTGTGTTTCATAAGTTAACAAATTTAATAAATATTAAGTATTAACTATGTGCCTTTTCAAAACTCATTATTTAAACTTTGAAGACATGACATATGAGTGTGTCTATAATTTTATTTAATAAATTGAGTTTAACCAAATAGATTAAAATGCGTGTCTTTTTTTTTTACATAAGTAAAATGTGGATGTTATTGAAAGTTATTTTGTTTAAGTAACACTTAGTGAGCAATTAATAGAAATCTTAAAAGCATTTTCCTAAATATTTATATCTAATTAAAGTGAATTTTTATAATATTAAATTTATACCATTTCAACTTTACACAAAAGCTTAGTAATTTGGAAATTTTATTACTATTTTTCAAAGAGTATCAACTTTCAAAGAATTCCCAACTATTTTCACGTGGTCTGAGGTAATCTATATGTTTCTATAAATTCCACAATTTTTCTCAAGTATTTCTCCATTGAGTAGTTCAAAATATTATTGTACCAGACTTACAAACATTTCAGGGCTTTTTTCAACAGCAAGAGCTTTAGCTTAAAATACGAAATTATGATGGAATAATAAAAATGTTAAAAGAAACTCTCTGTTTGTGATTATTGTCTCTGAGCTGCTATGTCCAGTGTTATCAGTTTAGTATCAATAGACTGATTAGGCAAGAAATTTCTTCAAAAGTCAATGGTGGGGCTGGGCAGATAGCTTGCCCATCTAAGCACTGCCTGGCAAGTGGAAGTATCTGGGTTTGATTCTTGGCACTGCATGTCGTGTGGGCCCAGGAACCTTACACATGCTGTGCTGGCCACTATCGTTGGGTGTGGCGGCACATGCCTGTAATCCCAGTGCTGGGGAGGCTGAGACAGGAGGATCACTACAGTCTAAGCTATGTAGAGAGACCCTGTACCAAAAAAAAAAAAAAAAAAAAAAAAAAGAAGTGGTGACATTTTTTGTTTTGGGTAATTTTTCAGTAATTTAAAAATTATAAAGCCAAATAGAAATTCATCTGGCACTATGCCAATGGGCAGCATTCTTTTATTCTGATATCGAACAAGAACCTCATGTTCTGTCCACGAGGGTGAGCTGTGCTCCTTACACATCCTTCAATAGAGAGAGATCTCCACTAGCTAACTCATGAAATGCCATACCAGCAGCCACTGCTATGAAAGACCTCAAAGCAAAATAATTATGTCTATTTTGAAGTGATTTGTGATGAAGAATTACTAAAAATAGCAAGATACTTTTGTAGAGTAAATTTTAAGACATCCAGAATCAACAAAGATAGTCATTTTGGCTCTCAATGGGCTTATCTCTCTCGACGATGCAGGCAGGAGGAAAGGGTGGTAATATTCTATACAAGCAGTACTTTGTATATGCCAAATATTGCCCTAATTGCTTTAAAACTAAGACCTCATTTCATTCTTATAACAGTAACAGGTAGTTCTTCTGGTTACCACCATGCTACAGGCAACATACTAGGGATGTGGCTGAACCTTCCCAAGGCAATTCATCATAAAGAGGAGGGCAAGAATTCAAATGGAAGCAATGTCACTCAAAGTCTATTATGAGCCAGCACGCCATCCTCAAAAACCACATGTGCACTCCAATCATACTCATGGCTAAAGATAATTTAGGTTTTTGTTTTCTCTACATGCCAGGACAGACATATTGGTGTTGTGTTTGTCTTCTGCTAAAGTTGATCTTGCTTAGGTCCCGAACCATGTGTTCACCTGGACTACTTCCCAATTATTAGACGACTGGCTCCTGACCTTCAGCTCTTGGCTGAGGTCTTTTGTCACAGATATGTTTTGATGGTGCTATAAAAAAGAACTATACTCCAGCACTCCCAGTGCTCTCTGTTCCATTTCTTCTTTTATTTGCATGTCTTCTAAACAAAATTAACATATATATTTTTATATACTGTTTATGTTTCCCTCACTACAATTAAGCTCCCTGAGCTAAGGACTTCCTTGCTTTTTTCCACTGATTTTCCCAACGTGTGGAACCATGGTTGGCTCATATTTGTTGTTCAATGAATATTTGCTGAGTTCATGAATGAAGAAAAAATTATCAAAATGCATTGAGCTTTGTGCCTTGGAAGGAAAGCATGGATATCTTAAAATTCCCAATTTCACAGCAATTAAGATTTGTGATTTTTAGAATAAAGCAGTCTTTTGCCTGTGATTTGGAAATACGATATATGACTTAATAGGTTCATGTACAAAATGAATGTGGGATTCCACATTTCAATGTACCAGGAATTTATGGCACAGTAATTATGTGCCAGTGATTTGGCTTCTTTTTATTCCAGATACTGGGATGTTAGATAAAGAAAATACTAACTCTTCTTTTAAAAATTCCATAATTTATCAGGATGGTGGATGTGTGCAATCCTGACCTCTGGGATGCTAAGGCGGTGGCGTCAGGAGTTCTAGCCCAGCTGAGGCGACCTAGAGGACTTGGTGGGAAAAAGGGTGGATGAGGATGTAATTCCACGTGAAAGGCTCTGGCTTCACACATGGCGTGCAAAAAGAAAAGGAAAAACAAAAAGAACAAAGGAACAGGCTTCATAGTGTCAGCCTGAAACATCGATTATGCCAAACTTAGTTTAAACGTCCTGTATCAGCCTTAGATTCAATATAAATGTGTACACTGTTATATGATGTAGAGCTAGAGGAAATTGATAGGTAAGCATGGTGTAAGCTTTCAGAGTCTTCTCCTTCTCTGGCTGCAGCAATCTCCAAATGCTCTCTTCAGCATAGCAAGCCCAGTCCCATGGCTGGGGCACTAAGCTCCAGGTTATTACAATCCAAACTTCTTCCTTCACACTTCATCATCTTGCGATGCTCATTTCCTGTGACCTTCCCCACTAGGACTGTGCCTTGTGTCTCACTCTGTAAGCTCACAGCTTCCCCTCTGCTCAAGTCAGCAATTCCACTATGCTTCTCCTCCAATGAATCCCACTTTCTGAGTTCTTGCTTTCATTCTGTTCTTTCAGCTGCTTCTGATGTTTTTTTAAAACCTCTATGTAGTCTTCCAGTCTCTCAAGTCCTTCCTGGCTTCACTCCCCCCACCTTTTTTTAAAAAAAACATTTTAGCAAAGGGTCTACAGGGTGTTCAGGGTCTCACTACTAGATCAGACTCGTAGTGATTGCCTGTTTACAGCCTCCCAAGAGTTGGGATTACAGGTGCGCGCCACCATCCCCAGTTTCAGTCGCCAGTTCAGGGCGCCGCATGGCAGATCCAGGGATTGAACCCAGCCCCTGTACCTGCTTGCAGGTGCTTTAAATCGCTGAGCTATTTGGCCAGCCCTTTCATTCCCTTTTATGTCCAAACCCAAGTCACTGATCCAGCCTTTGCATAAGCACCCTCCCTGTCCTCCAGGGACAACTCTCTCATTGACTTCTTCCAATATTCTTCCTCATCCCTCCCAGTTGTGCAGAAAGAACTTTGGACTTTGCAGGAAAGTAACTTTGAAAATATTAGTTACCCTCTTCACTGTACTTTCACTCTGCTTAGTAAGTTTTGACATTCCTTGCCACTTCCTCTGTGTCCTCCTGTGAGCTATTGCCCAAAATGCACTCCTTCCAAGTCTGTCTCATCAAAGAGTTTGTACCTACAGAACAGAGATCAAAGAACTAGCTAGAAATCCTTGAGTCTCCCTATTTTCAATCTTTATAATTAAAATGAATAAATAAACATAACCTTTAATGAATGCTTCCTTTATGCCTTGCCCTCTGAAAGCTATATACTGAATTCCTGTTCATTCTTTACAACAGTTTTGTGCAGTTACTACCATTGCCTTCAATCTGAAAAAGAAGAAACTGAAAAGAGAACTGGCCACACATTTAGTATATACTTAAGCTTAGACATGAATTTCCTCTTATCCAACTCCAAGTCCCTAGTTCTTGATCACAACACCATACACAGCCTCTTCACACTCATCTTTTCTTCCCACTGCTACATGTACAGAGCAAGGCCTTTTCGGGTTCATGAATAAGATTTCACATGTTCCATTTCTCCTATATAAATGTCACATTTCCTACTTTCTCTTCTTGTCCAAGAATTCTAGACCTACTCCGTGACTCTTGTCCACCTGTTAACTGTTTCATTCTTCATGAATGAGTAACATCTTTGAGCATTGAAATAACCAGGCCTGCCAGTGTCATATGGTACACAGGTGATTTGCAAGGCAAGTATTCCTCTATCTCAGAGGAAGAAAAACTTTTCAAGGTCAATGATAGGTCAGGATTTAAAGTTTCCCAGGCACCTTGCCCCAAACACTCTCCCTCTTGGTTTCCCAGGCACCCTCCCCCCAAACTCTGTCCCCCTAGGCCCCATGCAGAGCCAAGCTCCAAACCGCAGAACATGTCCACCTGACTTTGACCTGGGCAAGCAGCCACAAAACTCTCCTTTGTTAACATTAAAGGTTCCCCACAGACCAGCTCTGCCTGCGTCAGCTGTTTCAGCCCATGATCACCCTCCCTAAAAGATTG